TACTACCTGTTCTGTAGGTGGGAGGTGGAGGAACTCGAGGCAGGTGGTAGAGGATGGTATGGGAAGGAAGAAAGTAACATTTCCCCTATAATTTCCAGGAGAAATGCCTGTCTCTTCTTCTCTGACTTGTTTATAGACTGGCTGTGGGTAGTGAGAAGAGCAGGCTGGGTGTTAGAGTTCAGGGTACAGGGCCTGTTAGGCTGCCCCTTCATAACTCTTGTTGGCTTTTTTGGCAGAAACTTCCAGTTGCCCATGCAGTAGCTTTCTTTCTTTCTTCTTTCTTTTTTTTCTTTTCTTTCTTTTTCTTTCTTTCTTTCTTCTTTCTTTCTCTTTTTCTTTCTTTCTTTCTTTCTCTTTCTTTCTCTAGATTTATTTATTTATAGAGCATGCATGTGCATGCTCTCAGGTGGGGGAAGGGGCAGAAGGAGAGGGAGAGAATCCTCAAGCCCACTCCCTGATGAGTGTGGAGCCTGATGTGGGGCTTGATCCCAGGACCCTGAGATCATGACCTAAAGCTGAAATTAATAGTTAGATGCTTATCTGACTGAGCCACTCAGGCTTCTCTCCCTTCTTTCCGAAGGAAGCAAGGAAAGGAGGGAAGGGAGAGGGGGAGGGAAGGAGAGGGAGTAAGGAGGGAAGGAAGGGAAGGAAGGGAAGGAAGGAAGGGAAGGAAGGAAGGAAATATCCTGTATTATTGGAGATGGCCAAGTACCCAGCTAAAAGAACTATTTTCCAGGCTACCTTGCAGATAAGGAAGAAGGAAGGCTCAAAATACATATGTAGAAATTGTGCAGCTTTAATAAAAACCTGATCAGGAGAGAGGATTTGGCTTGGAGGTGTGAGTTTTGCTCTCTTCCCCTTTCTCCTTCTTCCTTCCTGGAACAAATGATGTAGTGGCTTGGTAGCTCCAGCTATCAAGGATAGGAGTCACTCACCTGCATTGGAAAACCCAACCTCAGTGGGCAGCCATGTAGAATTAACGAGAGAGTCAATGTAGAATGCTATTACAGGGCCTAGCACAGAGCAGATACTTAAAGAATGGTCCCTGGTATCAACTGATAAGCCTCGGGGAGATCCCAGAAAAGTTGTTGTGGCTTTTGCCCTGCCCCTTCTCCAGGTTTTTGTAAGTCATTGGAAGGAAAAGGGAACTCTTATACCTAGATCAAGTTCTGCAACTGGCTTCTTGAATGACTTTGAGGATGTCTGGTAATGTTTAGTGCTTCCTTTTTCTTGTTGGCAAAATGAAAAAGAAAACAAAAATCCTACCACAAAGCATGAACATTATACTGGAATTGCATTTATCTTAATGTATTGTCATCCTCTATTGCTGGCATGTGATACTAATTTTCCATTTATAGTAATGACATAGTTTCTCTTTCAAATAAATTCACCAAGTTATTAAATAGCAAGTGAAAAAATGTACAGTAGACATACTTCACAATAAAGGGTATCCAAGTGGCCAGTAAGGATAAAAGATGTTAAATATAGTTAATCATCATGGAAACGTACTCCACAAAAGATCTACTATATACAAGTCAGGATGATGCACATAATTTTTTAAAAATCAATATCCAATATTGGTGAGGATATGGAGCAATTCACATACCGTTTTGAGTAATGTAAATTGGTAAAAAAAAAAAAAAGCTGTGGAAAAAGTATCACATTATTGACCAAAAATGAACAAATGCATTTTCCTTGACACAGAAATTCTAGTCTTAGGTGTATATCCAATTCGGGCATATGTACATAAAAAGGCGTGTACAAGAATGTTCAGAGTAGCATTTTTCACAATCATCCCCCAAATGGAAGCAACCCAAATATATAATGAGTAAACTGGTATGGTTATACAATGGAATACTATCGAAGAATGAAGACAAATGAACTACAGTTAACACTCTTCAACTTGGTTGAATCTTCCAAATACAGTGTTGATCCCAAGAGACCAAATGCCAAAGGATATGTACCGCAAAGTTCAAAAATGAATGTAACTGGGGTGCCTGGCTGGCTTAGTTGGTAAAGTGTGTAACTCTTCATCTTGGGGTTGTAAGTCCAAGCCCCATGTTGGGTGTAGAGATTACTTTTAAAAAATGAACATAACTAAGTTATAGATGTTAAGAAGGCCATTAGTTTTGAAAAGGACAGGGAGCAATAATTGAAATGGACTCTGGGAACTGACAATGTTCTTTTTCTTGACTGGATGCTGGTAACATTGTGTTTTGTGTACTTTTATATGTGTATGTTTACTTCCAATAAAAATATATTTTTCCAATAAAAAGATTTTAAAAGAAGAGAGTTGACATAAAGAAAGATATTTTTAAAATAAGGTAGCATATGCAAATGACAAAATTCACAAAGGCTGTATATGAATAAATTGAGAATTAAGGGATTTGGTGACCCATGTACCTTTATAATTTGAGGATTCAGTGAAGTACTCAATAGTTGGCATAGCCAGAAACTACTGTATAGCTGGTGAATGAAAACAGAGAGAGAGAAAAAAGGAGAGGACAGAGACGTAGAGGTAGTAGTGAGGAGTGGCAAGAGCATAAGCTCTGTAGTTAAAATGCCTTGTTTGGAATTTTCACATCACTACCTGTTGGTTCTGTGACCTTAGGCAAGTTACATAACCTCTCTCAATTTCTACATCTGTAAAATGGTAATAATGATAGCACCTATTTCCATGCTTCTCTCCTAGCTTTTGGTGATGGCTGACAATCCGTGGCCTCACTTGGCTTGTAGATGCATTTCTCAAATCTCTGCCCTCTTCTCCACACAGTGCTCTTTCTCTGTGTGTTTCTGTTTTCTCTGTTCACATGGGCACTAGTCATATTGGATGAAGGGCCCATTCTAAAGACCTCATCTTAACTGATTTTATCTGCAAAGACCCTATTTCCAAATAAAGTTACATTCACTGTACTATACCTTGGGTTAAGACATCAACATATCTTTTTGGGAGACACAACCCATAACATGTAGAAAAACTGGAAAAATAACAAACACACATATGACCACCACTAGTTTCAGTAATTGTTAATATTTTTGCCACTTTTTTATGTATTTTATGTAAAAAAATAAAATTATTTTTCTCTTTAACCATACTGCTATTGTTGTGCCAGTAAAATTAAAAATAAATCCCTATTATCAACTAATATACAGTTGCAGTAGATTATTCAAAATTACTCACTTTCCCCTTCCCTGTGGGAAGATAATACATCCCTGCCCTATAATCTTTGAAGTTGACTATATTGTAATGCTGTTTTAGCAAACATAATGTAAGCAGCAAGATGTACCCTATGGTGCAGAAGCCTTTTGAATCATTGCCTGGGTTTTGGAATGAGAAGACACATAGATCAGAACATCTGCCTGGAGCATAGTAGTAGCCATCCAGAAACTTATGAGTGAGTTGACCAAGAAACAAATATTTGTGTTTTAAGCCACTAAAATTTAAAGCTGTTTGTGATTGCAGGTTTCCCCGCTGAATTTAGAGCTATTTTTAACATTTTGGGGGCAGTCTGCATTCCAGATTTTCACATTGTACTTGGTTTTTATATCTCTTTATTCTGGAACAGTGTCCTACCTTTTCCCATTCTTCCTTCATTTCTTTCTTTCTTTTTTAATTCTTCATGCAATTTATCTTTTTAAGAAGTCATGTCAGTAATCTTATAAAAGATCCCACATTATGAATTTGATTATTTCCTTTTGGCGTGTTTTAACCCTTTCCTCTAAGTACTTCCTGATCTTGGTTGCAAGTCGACATCACCTTGGAATATTATTTTATCAGTGTGTGCGTATATCCATGCCTCTAATGGCAGCCATCATGCCCTTTGATGCTCACAATAACTTTAGAGGGAAGCAAGGGAGGATTTGGGGTCTCCACCTAACAAAGGGATCTGAGAGAAAAAGTAACTGATGTTAGGTCACATAGTAAGTGGCGGAGCCAGGGCATAAATCCATGACATTCCCATCCTTCCTTTCTTCCTGTTGCCTTGAAGTAGTTTGAGAGATACAGGTATAAATGTAGATCTATGCTTCTATCTGTCCCTGGATGGTTATTCAAGTAACTAGTAACTGGGATGGTCTGAAGTACAGAGTTGGGAGTCCGTGAATGGCTTTTCATCATATACCTTTTTTTTAAAAAAGATTCTATTTATTTATTCATGAAAGACACGGAGAGGCAGAGACAGAGGGAGAAGCAGGCTCCCTGCGGGGAGCCCGTCCTGGGACTGATCCTGGACCTCCCGGATCACCCCCAGCCAAAGGCAGAGGCTCACCCCTGAGCCACCAGGCGGCCCTTCATCATATATTCGTTTATATTATTTGAATAATTTTGTGAGGGTAAAAAAAAAAATGATGTTAAGTAGTCACTGAATTCAAAAGAGCTTGATAAGTCATAAAGCATCATTAAAATGATAGGGTCATATACTACTATTGTCTACCAGCAAAAAAAAAAAACAAAAACAAAAACAAAAATTGAGTGTTTGTGGACAAGTTCAGTAAATTAACTTAGTACATCCGTATGTTTGATCAAGAGCCAGTTTTTATAATCACCTCTTGGAAAATCTAATAATAACCTTGGGAGGTGCTCAAGGTAAGTGAAAAAATACACAAACTACAGAGGTGTCCGATTAGTTTCGCGTGTTCCCGCGCACACGCGCGTACCCGGAGAAGCCCGCAGGGACCAACCGCAATGCCTGCGAGGGAGCGCGGTGATGCGAGGTACTGACTTTCTTGTATTTTCCGGGATATTCCACATTCTCTACAAAGAAAAAAAATCACGACTAAACCTTCAAACCTGGTCACAAAGCCGTTTCTTACGACTTTGTAGGCTGACTTGCCGCCCGGCGGGGGTGAAAAGCGAAGCACCGCGCGGGCCGCGAAGGCAAGAACGCGCCCTCCCCCCTAGCTCGGACCGGGGTGACGGACCACGAGGAGGCGAGACGGCCGCCGGCCTCCGCCACGCCTAGAGCGGCCGCGAGGAGGCGCCGGAACTTCCGGGGCGGGGCTCTCTCGGTCCCTCACCTTCCGCGGGGCGAATGTGGGCCTCTCGCAAAGCGAAAGTTCGCGACTGCTGGGCCGCCGCTTCCGTCACGCTGAGACGGTGTTTGAAGTTGGGGGCGACCATGGCAAAGAGCAAGTTTGAGTATGTGCGGGACTTCGAGGCTGATGACACCTGCCTGGCCCACTGTTGGGTGGTGGTGCGGCTGGACGGCAGGAATTTCCACCGGTGAGCGAGTTCGGCTCAGGCCACGTGGTGCCCGCGCTTCCGGGGACTGGGTCGCGGCTGGCGGTTCCCGGGTAACGCGGCAGCCAATGAGCGCGCGGCATTAAGCATCACCGAGTGCGGGCTACCAAGAGCTGGAACGCGAGCTGGTCTGAGTAGTTGGTTAAACCTGAGGCACAGCGCTCTCGTGAGCAGAGACCTGTTAGTAAGGCCGTGGTGGGGAAAATCACTCCCTGGTGCAGTATTTCGGCTCTTTAGCCAATTGCCTGGCTGTTCTGTGAACTGTCACCGAGGGCTGTGTAGAGGCCTGTTTAGGTCTTATTGTGGGCAATGCTTTGCAACACGTTCTTGTTTCGTTGTCAGTAACTGGCTGCATCGACTGGACTCAGGAGGAAACAAATCAGAAAAAAGGGAGAAGTGTAACAGAAATATGGGAATTTAATTCTTAAAAATGTTACTTTAGTAATGGTTATTATAACTAACATTTATTGAGCACTTTCATGGAGCCTGGCATAGTTACATTTTAACTTCTTTCTAATCTTCAGAACAGTCCTATGAAGTAGGTATACTTTATCTCCATTTCACAGAAAAGCGAATAGGGATTTAGAAATTATGCCCCTTCTTCTCAGCTGGTCAGGGCAAGAAAAAACTAGAGTTCTTAAGGAAGTGAGTCAGGTTGTGGCTAGTAGACTCACAGCATTATTACCTATCTTCCATTGTGTGCATTCTTTTTGATAAAATCGGTGTTAATGACAAGCTCTTTCATTCATGCCTTTTTCCCCTCTATGGAGGTTTGCTGAGAAGCACAACTTTGCAAAACCAAATGACAGCCGTGCTCTCCACCTAATGACCAAATGTGCCCAGACTGTAATGAAAGAACTGGAAGATATTGTGATTGCATATGGACAGAGTGATGAGTACAGCTTTGTGTTCAAGCGGAAAAGCAACTGGTTTAAAAGAAGAGCCAGGTAATTACATGGCCTAGCTCCTTCAGAATATTTCCTTTGGAAATATGCTGCGTTTGGTGTTTGCTCTTTTATTGCTGACTTACAGACTGCAGATAGAGTGTGCAGTATTTGAAACTAAAGAATGTCTATTTTCTGTTTTTACTGTTTACTTTCATCTGATATTTGAGCATTACGTACACCTCTTTATCTGATTCTTTCTCCTCATTCCTCATCACCTTAGCTTCTAGATTGTTATGGCACTTAATATTAGGACTAGAAACAGACCATTAGGATATCATAATATTAATAATTCATAGATTGGCTCTAGCCAGTGACAGCCTATATGTGCATTACAGTATTGCTTAAATTTTTAATTAAGGATGTCTCAACATAGACAAATTAGATATTTGATTTGATTTGGCAGTATACTGAAACCCACAGACAACAAGCATTCTGATTGGTATGTTTTTAAAACAATGGTTCCCTTCCTTCCCTTTTTTTTTTTTTTTTTTTTTTTTGGTTCCCTTCCTTCCAAGACTAAAAACAAAACAAAAAAACCCTCTTGAACCATAAATTCACATCACATCGTACAGAGAAATATTTGGTATTAATAAATTACTTATAGGACTAAAAAGAGGCAGGCTGCTTAGTTTTTCTTGGCCCAACACATTTTATCTTTTGACAGTTTGTGTAATCACTCTGTTGCACCCGCGGACCCTATCGTGGTTTTGAATTAATATCATGTATTTTCTCCTTTCTTGCTCCACCCAATGTGCCTTACTTTTGCAAGTAAGTTCATGACTCATGTGGCATCCCAGTTCGCCTCCAGCTTTGTGTTTTATTGGCGAGATTACTTTGAGGACCAGCCCCTTCTGTATCCACCAGGCTTTGATGGAAGAGTCATAGTGTATCCTAGCAACCAGACCTTAAAGGACTACCTCAGTTGGCGGCAAGCAGATTGTAAGTAAAACCAAATAAACAGATGTAATTAATCCACCAATTCCATACATTAGAGGTGGTGATTTGGTTCAGTTTTGATGCATGGGTATTTTGTTCAAAATGTAATACTTCAAATTTTTTTAGTTAGTTGAAAGCAGTCGAACAATCGGGAGATTTATGTAAATACTCCCTAGTTCTAGGTTTTTGGGAAAAATGAGAAGACCTGGAAATACTAGGTCTGCATTCCCACTTTGTAATGGACATAACCTGTGCAGTGACTGCTGTCTTTACACATGTGCGCATGGGCATGGACACACACACACACACACGGAAGCCAATGTGCCATAGTCTCTACCATTCTCTCTTGTTCCCCAGGGTCACCTACTCTGCTTTATGCTTTTATGTTAATAGTGGCCTCATTGGGTGATTCGAGTTATGACCCCTGCCTTACATGACTATGATGACATGTTTATGAGATTTAGTCATGTGATATATCTTGATTTGGCCACAAGAACTGGAAGGGAGCTAGGAATAACCTGAATCAAATAACTTTGAAAGTATTCCTAAGCTTAATATACAAGTTAACCAGTTTATATAAAGCATAACTGAAATGACAGAATAAAACTTTTAGGAAATAAGTTTGTTTATACTTGACCACTCCCACCCACCATGTTCCCAGTTTATGGTTTTGGGCATATCACTAACTGTCTCAGATCTCTGTACATCAGAGGAGAGGGGTGGAGTTCTAATACTCTTCGAAGCGTGAATACTGAATAAAGATTATGTTTGTATAAACAGTGCTACTCTCGTCTCACAGGTCACATCAATAATCTGTACAATACAGTTTTCTGGGCCCTCGTACAACAGTCTGGACTAACACCAGCACAAGCCCAAGAGAGATTACAGGTATAAGATCGTACTGCATTAATACTTATTTGGAGAGGCTTTCTATTCTCTTCCATGACATTCTTTTAAAGCTCTCTCTACTGCTTTGTTTTGAGAGGATACAAAAATCATACTAGATAAGAGGCAGCTCTGCTGCTTGCTTGCTCTGTGACCATGGGTGAGTTATTACTTCTCTCTGGGACTTAGTGTCCTCAGCTGGAAAATGGAATTAGTGACACTGGCTCTACCTTCCCACAAGGCAGTGCTTGGCTGGGTCTGCAGATTGGTTGCCTTCTTTGGACAGGGCATGTGCTCTTCTTTTTCATCAGTCTCAGTGGCCTCTTCATCATTGCCATTCCCTGCTGGGTGCATGTACTGTAAGAGTATAGGCTCTGGGAGTCAATAATTGTATTCAGGGACTTCTGTTTAATTTTATCTTCTCTGCCTTAGTTCTTTATTTTTTTTCTTTTTTTTTTTAAAGATTTATTTGTGAGAGAAAAAGAGGTGTGAGCAAGCAGGTTGAGAGGCAGACAGAATCTTGAACAGGCTCCCCACTGAGTGGGGAACCTGATAGGCTGGATCCCAGGACCCTGAGATCATGGCCTGGGACAAAATCAAGAGTTGGATGCTTAACCAACTGAACCATCCAGGCACTGCCCTGCCTTAGTTCTTTATAGGTTAAACAGGAAATAATAGTTCCCACCTCATAGGTTTATGGTGAAAATTGAGTGGCATGATGCATGTAAAAACACATAGCATAGTACAGACTGTATTTTAAGTACTTAATAAACAGTTACTTTCAGGATGCCTGGGTGGCCCAGTGGTTGAGCATCTGCCTTTGGCTCAAGTCATGATCTCGGGAACCTGGGATCGAGTCCCGCATCAGGCTCCCTATAGGGAGCCTGGTTTTCACTCTGCCCATGTCTCTGCCTCTCTCCGTGTCTCTCATGAATAAATAAATAAAATCTTTAAAAAAAACCCACTAACTTTCATCATTAGATGACAGTACTATTTGTAGGATGACTAATTCCGAAATTATGTGATATGTTGTAATGGCTCCTACCACAATGCCTGGTACTTTGTAATTACACGATAAATGGTGGTCATTAACAATGATGATAAGGATTTACAGATACCATTAATAGGAATACTGTTAGATTTATCCAGAGTTTGGAAGAGCTGAGTTTAGATTTTGATTTTTCTTAGAAGAATAAAAGCAGTCTTTATTTATTTATTGATTCTATTAATTTATTCATGAGAGACACAGAGGCAGAGACACAGGCAGAGGGAGAAGCAGGCTCCCTGCAGGGAGCTTGATGTGGGACTCCATCAGGTCTCCAGGACCACTCCCTGGGCTGAAGGCAGTGCTAAACCGCTGAGCCACCCAGGGATCCCCTAAAAGCAGTCTTTAGCCTTAGGCAGTTTATGTAATCTTTCTGAGCTTCAGAGTTCCATTCTCTCAAATGGAGATAGTAATGAGGGTCATATCAGATAACATACATACATACATAATGTATATAATACAGGACAGGTACTCTTACTGCTAGTCCCTGCCACCCTATCACAGTTGTGACTTCTGAAACCATTTGTTTGCTACAGTAGACAATTTTTTGAATTTATGCATTTCAGTAAGATTTTTTTTAAAAAAGATTTTTTATTCATGAGAGAGAGAGAGAGAGAGAGAGAGAGAGAGAGAGAGAGAGGCAGACACAGGCAGAGGGAGAAGCAGTCTCCATGCAGGGAGCCCGACATGGGACTCGATCCCAGGACTCCGGGATCATACCCTGGGTCGAAGGCAGGTGCTAAACCTCTGAGCCACCCAGGGATCCTTGCATTTCAAGAAGATGTAAACTGCTCTTCCAATGCAAATTCATTAGTATCTATAAGAAGTTTGATAAAGCCCTTCCACTTTCTGATTTGTTTGTGGAAATTTAGGTGGTGGGTGGAATGGATAGGTAGTATGGGGGCAGAGAACAAACATAAGAATCTTTTTATATCTTTCTATTTTCTCAGGGAACTCTTGCAGCAGACAAGAATGAGATTTTGTTTTCTGAGTTCAACATCAACTATAACAATGAGCCGCTGATGTACAGGAAGGGGACCGTGTTGATATGGCAGAAGGTAGTGCCTTTGTCTAAGGGGAGGGAGGCCAGAAAGACCAGCTTGTGCGCATCCTAGGCCCTGACCTACCCACCGCACGCATGCAGTGTGATCCCACACACTAACATGAATCGGGTCTTCTAAAAAATGAAGTGCTGTATGTTATTTTAGGTGCTGCTTGCCAGTCCGTGCTAATTTGATCAGTCTGCTAGCGATCTTTGTGGTCTAGAATTTCCTAAGTGGAACCACAGATTTTAGAGTCAGTACACTTATTCTTTTGTGTCCTAAGCTCCCCAAATCAAATAAAACCCTATAAAGGGGTATGCCACAGATAGAAGGATTTTTGCGTTCATAGGACATTTCTTCCGCACTGCATAATATCATTAAATAGTCCATCCATCCCATGATGACTATTAGATGAGGCAGTAGAAGATATTGTATACGACGGTTCTGTCACTTGCAGAATATTCTGGAGATTTCCCAGATATGCCTGCTTATTCCCTTAATATTAAGTAATAAGTCTGTACATTTACCTAAATTCTTAATTCCACCAATATTTTCTCTCTGTACCAGTTTCTGAGCATAATTTCTCTAAATTTACCTCCTTCCATGTAAAGTAGTTTTTCTTTTTAATGAATGTTTTCAGGTGTTAAGTGGTGCCTTAAGAATTAGTCATTCCACTGGCAACTTCAGCTTATTAGTATTTTTAAAGCACATTTGCTCTTTAGCACAGGCTTGGATACTTGCAAATGCAGATGAGAGAGCAGAAATACTTCTAATTCTATAGTTACTGCTAATAAGGAACATGGACTCCTTTATTTCTAAGATCTCCTTTCAGAATATAGCAACATAACTTTTTAGGTTTTTAATTAACAGATTCATATATGTTGAGATAATGTGTGTATCTGTGTAACTACCTGATAAATATATATCACCCAGAAGTATATAAAGTCTAAAGTAAACTTCCTGCATATCCCCCTCTTCTCTCCCAAACCCAGTTAACAATGTCAGTATTTTAACTTTTACCTGTAGGTGGGTGAAGTCACAACAAAAGAAGTTAAACTGCCAGAAGAAATGCAAGGGAAAAAGATGGCAGTGACCCGGACCAGGACTAAGCCAGTGCCTTTATATTGCGATATAATCGGGGATGCTTTTTGGAAGGAACATCCAGAGATCCTAGATGAAGACAGCTGATCCTTTGCTTTTTAGCCCTGGCAGGCTTATCCATGCAAGACCCCCTAAGTCTCCTGGCCTTAGGTGCCCTACGATCCCTACTACCAACAGCAGTGTGCCAGGAGTGACATATATCAGGTTGGAAAGGAAACAGAGAAAGAAGGGATGGATAGGGGTGGTTATCGTGTTCTGCTTTAAGTAGAACATTTTTTTACAGTGTTGGAACATGGTTCCTTCGGTAGAAGTGCATTTTTTTTTTTTTAATCGTGGTGCTATTTTTATAAAGCAAGAACTATTTTATGCTTTGCAGAATGAATCATTTTTAGATTGTGGCATAAGTCTTATAAAAACTTGTCAAGCTTTTTCCACCTATGATAGATGAACCCAAACTTTACTCTCAACCACCTGTTCTTAACTACAAAATCTACTAACCTTGAAGATCTCACCTTTCCTACCCATGTACTTTGACCTTGAGATAAATAATGAGTAGGTGGTTACACGATTCCTCTGAATTCAGGAATTGCAGGGAGAATCAGGATTTTGTGCCAGTCTCCCAAGTTGGCAACTTTGGCTGAACAAATTAGTAATTTGGATGTCCTCGTGTAAACATTCCATAGATTGATTTTGTGGAGCTGTCAACAGGATCATTGTCTCGCCAAGGATATTTCCAAAGCCACTTACTTTTTCTAAGAAGAAAGAGAATAATATGTATATATGAGAAAAAAACAAAATGAACAAGGAAGAAAAAACATGGACTCGGTCCTCTAAACACTTCAGTTGTAAAAGTCACCTTCCTGTTGGATTTTCTAAAAAGGATTCTCAGGTAGCCTCTATGTAATTGGAACACTGACATCTGAGTTAGAGAGCAGAGTGGTCAGCACTTCCCTTGGGGTCACAAATGGCAGGTGTCAGAGGACCCCTAACAGTTCCACCTGCTGGTGGGCCAGTGGAGCTGGGGGAGGAGCAGCAGAGAGCAGCAGCAGTAACTGCATGTGGCCTAGTTGCTGGCCCCAGAAGTGAGGGTAGGTGGTGAGAGAACTCACATTGCCCGTTGTCCTCCTTTCATATTTCACAGGAGGATTATTTGGCTCTATTAAGAATTAGGAGCAGCCTATGTTTTAGTGCCTGGTCTTGCATTACAGAATTTACAGCCACAGAGAAAATGTATTTTTAAAGGCAATGGCTGGTCTCCTTCTTCACTAATTGATACCTCATTTGTTGGAATCATTTCTTCCCCTTCCTGTTCTCACTAGAGGAGATTTTTTTTTTTTTTCACTAGAGGAGATTTGATGCATGTTTGGTAATTGATAAAACCTCTGAGAAAAAAATAAAGGCTTCAACTCCCTTGGCCTAATTTTTCATTTATTTTTCTCATACAAATACAGTATATGTATCCAACTTTTGTATATGTGTGTCTTTATGTAAGCCAGGATGAATGTACCATCATCACAGCAATGGTTCATAGTCTTTGTACAAAAATTTACTTGGAATGCTTGTTTTCAGTGCTATTCCAGCTTCCTCTTCTCTCCCTATTAAGATAGGTTTGCTAATCTGATTTTTTTAATCAAAAAGGTTTTTAATGTCTATGGTGAATGATATGTGGCACTTTGGGTGACAAGGCACTGGGTATACTGTGATAGGCCAAATGAGGCAATAAGGTAACGTAGCTCCTGACAGGCAAATGTAACTTAGTGGTAAGTAAATGTATAGCATTTTATATCAAAATTTATATAGATAAATCGTATCTACATAGACCTCTATTATATAGATATATTTAAATATAGGCATTAGGGTACAGACTTTCAGGACAAAACCATCCAAAGAAATGTGCTTTCTGTGGGTGCTATGTGATAGTACAAAGGCTCAAGGGGACGAGCACTTACTCCTTGAATTGGCAGCAGTTTGCAGCTTTGTTTTTTGTTTGGGCGGGAAGTTTTGTACAAAGGAATATAGTTTAATAGTCCTGCCATAACTAAACTCATAATGTTCTTAGGAACTCCCTTTGATGGCTTTTCTTTTGTAGCCTGTATTCTTTCTTTCTTTATAGTCATATATTAATTTTCATCTTGCTCTCTAAGGTAGAGAATAGCATTCTCTTGGGCTTCCCAAAGCTTAAAGAAATTCTGTTGAAACAGAAAAACAGCTAGTGTATAATTAACACTAGTTGTGATAGTTCAGGAGAGTGGTGGCAGGAAAGTGATTTGTGTGGCTTTTGGGTAACTGGAAACATCTTGGCTGTGCTGATGGGAGTAAGAGCTGGCCTTCTCTATGGACTGATTTTAATATCAAACAGCAAAAACGGGGACACCTGGGTGGCTTAAATTGGAGCATCTGCCTTGGGCTCAAGTCATGATCTCCTCCCAGTCCTGGGACCAAGCCCCACACTGGGCTCCTGGCTCAGCAAGGAATCTGCTTTCATTCTCTCTCCCTCCCTCCCATGCTCTGCCCCTCCCCACTGCTTGTCTCTCTCTCTCTCTCTCTCTCTCAAATAAAATCTTAAGGGGGGGGGGAAGCACAACTATTTTGTTAAACAAGTCATAAAATAACACGTGGTACAACCGGGTCTTGTAAATCTTCCATCATTCTAAGAGCAGGATCCTAATTTCCAAGGAAATTGCCCAAGCAGTGCTTGGAAAATCAGGAATACAATGAATTTTCCTTAATAAGGTCTCCCTGGTATTAGTGCAAATTATTTTGCATGAAGTGTAGGAAATGGAGGATTGGGGTCCATCCCTCCTTCAGAGTTTGATGGTCTACTTAAGCAACACTAGCTAGCTAGCATAGGGCATTTACACGCGCTCTGTGCAATACCTCTTCATACTCAGGAGAACTGTGTGGGCTAGGTGCGATTTCTATCCTCTTTCAGGTGAGAATGTAAAGATCCACAGAAGCTAAAGGATTCGAGCGCGGGCCTGAAGGCTTATGGGGCCACCGACTGCCCTCTTCCAGCCTCTTCCCACCCGCTCCAGCTGGGAGCGCACACGGCAGTTCGAAAGCAGGGAAACGCTTAGGGAGGCTGGTTAAATGCCGATTCCAAGATCCACCCCCGGGGAATCTGGAGTATTAAGAAACACCCTAAGTGATAATGGTGTGAATGAGGAAACGCTGCATTCAAGCAGATGAACGCACCTGTCCCCCTGGCGCGCAGGCGGCGGCGGCGGCGGCGGCGGCGGCGGCGGCGGGCCGAGCGCGGACAGAGGCTGCCCCCCCGCGGCCGCGCCGGCGCAGTGCAGCCCCGAGCCGCGGCTGCGCAGTGCCGCCCTCTGGCGGCCCCGCTCCTCCTTCCCATCGGCCTCGGCTTGCGGGCCTTTCAAACATGGAGGAGCGGGAGCGGGGGGCGAGGTCGGCTCGCGCCGGGAGCCCCGCGCGCCCCCCCAGCCCGCGGCTGGATGTCAGCTCCGACAGCTTCGACCCGCTGCTGGCCCTGTACGCGCCCCGCCTGCCGCCCATCCCCTACCCCAACGCGCCCTGCTTCAACAACCTGGCCGAGTACGAGAGCTTCCTCAGGACCGGGGTCCGGGGCGGCGGGCGCGGGAGGGCGCGGGGCGCGGCCGCGGGCTCGGGGGTCGCCGCCGCCGCCGCCGCCGCCGGGGCCTCGGCCAGAGCCCGCCGCCGCCCGGACGCCCCGGCCCCGGACCCCGAGCGCATCCAGCGCCTCCGTCGCCTCATGGTGACCAAGGAGGAAGGGGACGGGGCCGCCGGGGCGCGCCGGCGGGGTCCGGGTCGGAGCAGGAAGGCGCCGCGCAACGTGCTCACGCGAATGCCCCGTGAGTCCGGCGTGGGGGCGGGGGCGGGGGCGGGGGCGGGGAGGGGGAGGGGCGGGGCGGGCGGGGGGGGTCCCGGGGCGGGGGCGGGGCCGGGGCCTGGGGGCGGGGCCGGGGTTCGGGGAGGGGGCGGGGTTCGGGGAGGGGGCGGGGCCGGGGGCCCCGGGGGGCGGGGGTCCCGGGGGGCGGGGGCCTTCCGGAGTTAGCAGTCCGCGCGAGCCGCGGGGCCAGAGCGGCTGAGGCCGCCGAGGGGGTGCGGTGGCTGCGGGGTCTGCGGGTGCGCCGGGCCCCGAGGCGCTCGGAGGGCCGGGGGGGGGGGGCCAGCCGGAGGGGCGCAGCCAGCCTGCAGGGCAGTGCTCGCCTGGTGGGGCTGGCGGTGGGGTGCGGGCGGGGACACCTGTCTGTCGGGCGAGAGCGGGGGCGCCGCGTGGTGGCCCCGGAGCGCTGACGGCCCCGGGCGCTCGCGGGGAGGGCTGTGCGGTCCCGACAGCCCGTGGTCCGTCCGCCGCGCCGGCCCCGCGAGCGCCGGGACCCCGACACAGCCCCGCCGCCCGGCCCCTGCGGGGGCGTGTGTGTCGCGCCCGCAGTACCGTCTGCGCAGGCTGTTTCGAGTTCTGAAGGTGTGAGGGACACGAGGGGCCCTCCTGGAGCCTCCTGGCACGTCCTCGGAGGCCGCTCCTCTGCGTCCGTGGGAGCTGGGTCTCGTTCCGAGGGAACAGGAGCAGCCCAGGGCCGTCCACGCCTTCCGACCTCTGCGGGTGAGCCCAGTGACCCAGTTGGCCATTCGGAGCATCTGCCTCCTGATAGCCGAATCCTAACGTGATTGAATCACCGCGTTAGAGTGGAGGGTCGCGCGCTAAGCAGGGGGGTGTCCCGCTGCATTCCCAGAAGTGTGTTTAGAGGGAGGCATCCTGCGAAGCTGCGCGCGGTTAGCGGCGTCTCGGCGAGATGCCTTAGGGACTCCGCGCAGGCCGCGGCGCACCGCAGCTTGCTCGCCCGGCGGGGGCGCGGATGAGCACCCGTGCTGCCATCGGAACGGTCTGGGGGTCCTTATTCTGTGTGGACTTTTTTTTTTTTTTTTTCGCCACTGTCAGACCTTGGAAGTGCACTCCAAGTCTCACACTGTGACATTTATTTCCATTTTGCCAGTTGTTGCTTCGCTACTGAGATTGTCAAGGGAAAAACTTATTCTATGTAGCGAATGGTTTTGACTTTGCGCATGAAGCACTCTTCTGCTTCATTGGTGCGGCGGAGCACGAAAAGCAGCTCTTGATTTGTCGTGATTAAATATATGGTGGCATCAGGATCTCAGAATGTGCCATAGGCACTGGACACAGTTGAGTGTACATGATGATGATGATGATGATGATGGGTAGACATCACAGAGAATTGATAAGCTTCCGAAAACAGGAAGAGTACAGCGGTGTCTGGGTGGCTCCGTTGGTTGAGCATCCAACTCTTGGTCTCGGCCCAGGTCTTCATCTCAGGCTTGTGACATTGAGCCTAAGCTGGGCCTTGGGCTCCCCACTCAGCAGGGAGTCAGCTTGCCTCCCTCTGCCCTCCCCCTGTTCGAGTATAATCTCTCTCTCTCTCTCTAAAATAAATATTTTTAAAAAAGGAAGAAAGACAAGTACAGAAACAAGGGTGGAGATTAAAGTCATTCAGAAAGAGTTCCTAGAAGAGATTGGTAATTATTTAAAAGTTAGGCTTTTGGGCAGCCCAGGTGGCTCAGCAGTTTAGCACTACCTTCAGCCCAGAGCGTGATCCTGGAGGCCCCGGATCGAGTCCCACATCGGGCTTCCTGCATGGATCCTGCTTCTCCCTCTGCCTGCCCCTCTCTCTCTCTCATAAATAAATCTTTTTTTTTTTTTTAAAAAGGCTATTGGGGTATAATTTACACATAACAAAATTCACCCTTTTTAAGTGAGTTTTGGCAAATGTATAGCTGTGAAATTACCATAGCAATCAAGTTACGGAACAAATCCATCACCCCAAAAAGTTCTCTCATGCCCCTTTTTAGATCAGGAGACAATTTTATTGTTGCTGATTAATTAGGGCAACTGTTATTTAGCTAGTAAGTGCTGTGTACTTTGCTAAGCCCTTTAGATGCATTATATCTTATTTTACCCATAGATACAACTTTATAAATGAGGTTCCTTGAGCTCAACTACTTGCCCAGGATCACATAGCTAGTTTGCAACTGAGACCTTTTTTTTTTTTTTTCAACTGAGACTTAATACTGGGTTTGTCCAACTCCAGTGTCTGTGTGCCAGGGCCATTATGCTAATCTCAAGTAAGGGAAGAGGGGAGTTCATTCTCATTTTTCTTTGCTTGCTTCTTTTGGTGGGTGGAGGGTGCCACATAAGTGAGGCAGAGGGTGTTTCTGGAGCAATGAGAACTGAATTTAGGTCCAGAGAAGGATTTATTAAAACACTTTGAAGGGATCCCTGGGTGGCGCAGCGGTTTGGCACCTGCCTTTGGCCCAGGGCGCGATCCTGGAGACCCGGGATCGAATCCCACATTGGGCTCCCGGTGCATGGAGCCTGCTTCTCCCTCTGCCTGTGTCTCTGCCTCTCTCTCTCTCTCTCTCTCTCTCTCTCTCTCTCTCTGTGACTATCATAAATAAATAAAAAAATTTAAAAAAAAATAAAACACTTTGAAGACCAAAGATTTTGTCTTTGTTATGATAGATAGTGGGGACCACGTGTATATTGTTAAGCAAAAGCACTTTTAGGGCAGTGTCACTAATGACTTAATTTCTAGTAGTAGTAAAATATTTAGGGGGGTATAGACCACAGATTCAAAGGTTTGGCTGCTGGCTTTTTAAATTTTGAACACTGACTCCTCCACTCTGTAGCTGTTTCACCGTAGGCAAGTCACTTAAACTCTTTGGGGCCTCAGTTTCCTCATCTGTAATAGTATCTACCTAGAGTTGTTAGGTTTAAATTAGTTAACCCATTCAGAGCTTTTAAAGCAGTAGGACACAGGAAAATTCTCAGTTAAGTGTCACTGTGATCATTATAGGTTGTTGTTGTGGTTAGACTGTCATAATTAAAAGCTTGAGGTCAGGATGTATATATAACCTGCCTGTACTGGGTGTTGGCTCAGCTGTTTACTAGGTAAGTAACCTTGAGACATTATTTAAACAAATATTTCTGAGCCTTCATTTTCCTCATCTGTGAAGTGGGGCAAAATAATAGCACCTGTGTATTAAAGTTGTGAGGATTAAATGAAATAACATGCATAAATTTAAACTTGGTGATAATGTTGGTGTCGGGGGTGATGTGAGTGAGGGGAACTGGAAGACTGTTGTGGTAAACCAATCATCTGATAAGGCTCTGGACTGTATTATTGGTTGGGGAAAGAGAAAGAAAAGAGCACGTCTTAAGTTATTGAGGATCTATTGTCTGAGCTTAGTGTTACCACAAGTAGGGAGAAGAATGGAGTTAAGAATGACCTGGCTTTAGAAGGTTGGGGGGAGAAGGAGATCCCGAAGAATAACTGTCTTCAAAGATAAGGCATATGTTTTTGTGTTGTATTAAGTTTCAGAAGACTGGCTCATATAGCCATTTGGAGTTTGTTACACAGACTGCTTGCTGGAAAGAGATGCAGAATGTGTATTCTGATTCAGAATGTGGAGCTCATCTTTGCCTTGGCAGTTTGCTGTGACAGACGGTGCTAGTGTTGTATTTTTGATCACACAAGGGAGTGAAGTGCTCCCAGGAATTACACCTTATTAAATCTTTGGAAGAAAAAAAAATCAAGGGAAAAGTGCAGATACGAGAGTTAAAAGACCTGAGTTTATCATTTGTTTAACCAGAATAAGAAACTGTTAGATGTGTGCTTGTGTTTTCTTTCTGATTTGGGGGTTCGGGGCAGTGGAGTGGAGGGATGTAATACCTCTGGGGTTTGTTTTGTTTTGTTTTTGTTTTGTTTTACAAATTAGAAAAAGAATGGTCTTTCCGTTGTTTGTGGAAACACCTATGGGGGTGGGAGGAAGCCGTGAATACATAAGGCAAATAAACTGATCCAGGCAGTGTGATCAGTTTCTAAGAACTTAAATTACAGAGACTTATTCCTGAAATGAATCTAGAAGATAACTAGTCTAACCTCATTTTATGAATAAGGAAGCTCAGACTTGTGAAGAAAAAGTTACTCAGACATTCAAAGAATTTAAAAATACCGATATTGCTAGAAGAAGAGTAGATGATGAAGGTCAGACCAAGGTTCTCCTGTTCTTTTCCAAGACCTCTGTTTCTGCACACTGCCTTCTACTGTGCCTCCTTGTTGAATCTTCAATCTGACATAAGCTCCTACTTCTCATCTGCTAATTTAGTTTCTTTAAGAGTATTTTCTTTTGTTAATTTATCACTGCCATCATTTATAAGCTGATCCATGAGTGAGGGATAAGGAGGTCATGGGTAACCTGCTTAGTTATCCAAACTGAAGTGCAGGACTATTGTTTACTGTCATGTCACTGGAAACAAAACAGATTTTTTTGTGTGTGTTTACTCTTGATGGCAATAATCAATCTCCAAAGAATTTTGCCTTTTAAAAGTGAGAAAGACTGAGACTGTATATGTGTGAGTGAGAGTGTAAGAGTATGTGTGTATACATGTAGTTTTCTTTTGGGAGGTTTTATATGGTATAGCCATCAAATTGTGAAGGCTAAGTTAATGTGAAGTAATAAAAATGAAATTCATCTCTGTTCCCAAGCTCTGAAAAAAAGAATCCATCATAGTAAAGGCTGCAATTTATAGTCCCAGCATTCTTCCCATGAATCGTTGTACTCTTTATGTGATGCTTATCAGCAGTCTCATAGGAGCCTAATGCCTAGCAGGTGCCTCTGTATCAACCAGGCTTGGAATGCACCCAGGTATCTTCCTCCTAGTGTAAAGATGATGTACGCTGGAACACTAGTGGCTCCAGAGAGCTTAGCATGGGGTATCTCCAGATAGGGGCTAAAAGTCTGTTCTCTCTTAGAGGACTGCATATGTTTAAGCACAGATGTGTTACAGGATTTGTTTAAACATGTGATTGATAAATAAATAAACATATGAATGAAATTTTGGCTTGTTTTTCCTTTTTTTTTTTTTTCCTGTAAGAGTCAAGCTAGATATATGGTTCAGGAGAATTATTTTTTTAAAAGTTGTCTTAACCAGTCACAGAACTAAGAAGAATTTTGCTGCTGATGTGTACATTTAATGTAAGGTTCCCCCACCACTACCACCAAAACATTTTAAAATAATGGTGCATCTTAGAATCAATGGCATCATAGAACACAGAATACACAAGTAGTGAAACCTTTGGGTGATAGGCAACTGTATGCTTTCTCTCTGTCTTGGCAGAACCTTGCCTTATTTCAGGATATGTTGCCTGTACTAGTTCTGTTGCCCATTGGGCCTTCCTGTTTCCATAGTGAGGTTGCCACTGCACCATGTTGCTTGATGTTGCTGGAGATGGTTGGGTGGTCTTGACTGTTAATTCTGGGAATGAGAGCAAATGTTCATGCTATGCTCGCTGTTTTTGCCTTGTTTCAGTACATGAAGGCAGCCCTCTGGGTGAACTCCATCGTTGTATCCGAGAGGGAGTGAAGGTGAATGTTCACATCCGCACTTTCAAGGGTCTTCGGGGCGTCTGTACAGGCTTCCTCGTCGCATTTGACAAGTTCTGGAATATGGTAATTAAGCCTTTCTCAAGGGCCTGGAGAACCTCCTAGGGATTAAAACTTTTTTGTCCAAATGACCTGAGTATCCTAATGTAGGAAAACCAATAGAATAACTTCCCAGAACTAGAATTTTTGCAGTCTGTTGGCCAACAACAAAAGAGTTATTTTAACTTCTTCTTTTCTTTAAGGCATTGGCTTTCAACCAATTGTCACAACTGTGGTGTGGGAGGGACATTACTGGTATCTAATGGTTTAGAGGCCAGAGGAGCTGCTGCACATCCTACAGTACACAAGACAGCCCCCCAACAACAAAGAATTATCTGGTTGAAAATGTCATTAGTGCTATGATTAAGAAACCCAGCCTTAAGGAATAATTATTTATTTCAACTGTTTAGTAATTTTATGTCAGTTTCCTACTGACCATTCTTTCATTCATTTCAACCACTTTGGCCGTTACTTTACCACAGTGTTAAGAACAGAAATTTCAGAACGGAACTTTCAATCTACAGTTTTGGGAAGATAGATAAAGATAGAGGGGAAGCAGGCATACTAATAAGCAAGGCACTTTCCATGGTATTTCCTTAAAAAGGAAATGTGCCCCCACTCTCCTAGAGGTTTACTGTCTGCTTACTAGACATAGTAGGAGTGAAGAGATACATTATAGCACAACTACACTATGAGGCAGTTAAAATAGGAACCACCAGACTTTCTGGCATTTCTTTTTCATAGAGTCTTCCATCTCCAGCTTTTCTTTTTCCTGCGTTTTATATTCATCCATGCATTCTCCTAGATGAGTATAGTAGTTGCTGACATGTAATGAGCACTTAACATTTGCCGGATAGTGTACCAAGGGTTTACATGTATTAATGAGTGAGGTTTATTACTATTCCATTTTACAAATGAAGAACTTGAGGCTGAAGATATTGAATGATTGCCCCAGGTCACACTGTTAGTAAGTGGAAGTTCTAGAACTTTATCTCAGGTCTTTCTGACTCCTAAGACCATGTTTTTAAACACTGTGGGATCAGAAGACCTGGATTTGAATACTAGCTTTACCGCTTGGTAGTTGTGTTACTCTAGGCAAAGTAGTTTTTCTGAGGCCCATTTTTCTTATATCTAAAATGTAGGAAAAAGTACTTTATTGTTATAATTTTACCTTTGAAGGAAAAGGATTTAAGAGAACATCTTTGATATGATGGTCATAATAATAATACTGTCAGCTTATATTTGTAGGATGAGTTACACTTTTCAAATTGTGATTTCTCATACTTGATTTCATTTGATCCTAAATAGCTGTCCTACGAGGTTGATCTCTCAGAGACAAAAATTCACCAACAATTCTGTGTAACCCTGGTTAGTACCTGTTCATTGCTGTCATAAGACCTAGAAATTGAGGAAGGAAAAGAAGCAGTAGAATAGTGCTTCTCAAAGTGCGGCCCAGGGGCATCCTACAACACCACAATCATGGAGTTTCTGGTTATAACAGTTCCTGGGCTTTATCCAGACCTACTAAATCAGCATATCTAGGAAGTAGCCTTGGATTTATATTTTAATAAATTTCCTAGATATTTATGCATATTGAAATTTAAGAACCTCTACCATGCATTTGTAAATAGATAAAACATCTTACATGGTGGTAGCAGCTTGGAAATCACTCAGAGGGTGCCTGGTATTTCCATGTTTTTGTACATAAGAGCAGAGTCACTTGTTTGGTTCTGCTAAATGAGGTGTTTACTCTGCTTTTTAAAATTTCCCTGGAAGCTGTAAAAATAATATTTTTAATTATGCCTAATTTTTTTCCCCTTTGGGCTATTTCTCTAGGCACTTACTGATGTGGATGAGACCTACCGAAAACCTGTTCTAGGCAAAGCGTATGAGCGGGATTCTTCATTGACTCTCACTAGGGTAGGCTATTTCTCCTCACTTCTTGAGTACCCATCATGCTTTCAAACTTAGGAATTGAGGTCATTGAGGCTGGTGACCAGGTTTTCTTAGTGGGAAAGCTCAATTGCTTCCACTATGCATGCCTGGACCAAGATCTTCATTAGTCTCACTTCTCATGCATTCAGCTAATCAAAAGTGAATCTATGTTTTGACCAGCGTAGTATTTGAGCAATAAGTTACCTCTTATAAGCCTTAAAAGTCTTTCTATTTTATACCACAGAGAAAAGCAGGTGACTTTTCTCTTGTCATATTATTGATTTATCTGAATTATAGCTACCCATAGAAGAAGATCCATTGCTAACTTTTAAAAAATTACACAGCAAGGAGCAATCTGGTGTTTTTTCTATATATTGAGAGAGGGATATTGGAGGCTAAAGAGAAGGCTGATATTTATCATTGCTTTCCTTATAGCTGTTCGATCGCCTAAAACTTCAAGATTCTTCCAAAAAGGAAGCAGATTCTAAGTCTGCAGTTGAAGACTCCACTCTGTCCAGATATTCCCAGACATCTACTTGGAAGGTGGCTTCAGTGTGGGGAAGAGGAGATACTGACCGGGGCTCACGCAGGCGTTCCCGCTCTGTCCCTTCTTCCCTGCAGGCATCTGCAAGGGAGGAGTCCAGGTCAGAGATGTCAGGGAGGACTACACGGACAGAAGGGTCAAGTGCAGGAGGTACCTTTTCCAGGGCTACCACCCTTTCCAGGGGCCAGCCCCGTAAAAAAAAGCGAAAGCCCAAAGTGGATTACCAGCAGGTATTCACTCGACACATAAATCAGATATTCATTCGAGGTGAGAATGTCCTGCTGGTTCATCTTGCACAGTGACCAACTTGGCCTCACTGGAGCTTTGGTTTCTATAAATAAAATGCATGAATTGCTGCTATGCTGTATCCTAGTATCCCAGTGAAACTGAGTTGAAATGATTCCCTCTGGTCCTGCATGTGCAGAGCATAGAGCCAGGCTTGGGCCCTCTGGAAGATGAGCTTCCTCAAGGGGACACAGGCCTCAGGAGGGTGGGTATTTTTGCTAATATCAAGTCAAAAGCTGTACAGAGGAAACATGGATCTTATTTGGTGTCATGGTCAACTTTAGAGATACTCAAACCAAATATCAAATCTTCATTTGAATTAGGGGGGGCCATGGTATGAATTAAATTCACCCCACAGACACTATAAGGATGAGAGGAAAAAACACCTCAAAAAAAAAAATTTCATTTCTAAAAGCTAGTGCCCTGAGTACTCATGAATTTGATTCTGAGAGTAGCAATATAAATTTCCCTGTAGTCCTGTGCCCACAACTTGTAACTGACCTTTGAATTTTGCTCTATATCATTCTCTCTTGATCTAAAAATGTAATTTATTATCTTTGACTATCTGTAAAACTAAGAAAGCCACCAACTTATGTAAGGGTAGAATTTGAATAACTGCTATGCTCAAAGCAGCCAGCAATGAACATTTTGTTTTTATCCCTCTCCTTATTATTTAAAGGGATAACAGAACTTCATCAGTCTTCCCCACTTACCAGAGGTAGCTTCTGAGAATGGCATGCCAGGTGGGACTAGAAGATACTCATGAGGTGGCTTCTTGTCCTTTTCTTTCACTTCTGTGGCATGGTGCTAGTGCATGTACCCAGTGTATTGCCCTTCTGTATGTAGTGTGAACTGTCCCGTGAGCTTTATGGCAGGTGACTGTGACCTTCTTATCTGGTTTCAAAGAGTTCTCCATGAACTCAGTAATATGTTTGCATCACATGGTTGAGAGTTCCCTTTCCAGGCAGGGCTGGCCTGTGTAGACCAACTTTCAGAATGATTTTTCCATGAAACAGGAATGGTAGTTTTATTCCCTCATGTCACGCCAGAGAGGCTCTTACAAAGTATAGTGGGTGGCATCTATAAGGAACACTTTACTCACAGCCTGGCTTGAGTAATGGGAACACTGTAGCACCCTCTAATACTTCTACTTGAATCATATATACTTTTTCAATCACCAGTACAGAATAGGCTACATCTTGACACAGACTGTTAGGCAATATTTATTTTTTTTTGTTTTATTAGTTTATATTTGGTTTGATTTTTAGATAACTTATGTTCAAAGGAGAATAAGAAATAGCTAACTAGTTAAAATGTTTGAAAAAAAAAATTCCCCTGCTGTATTTTTTGTGTAACTTAGGTAAGCCTTCTGAGAATCAGGATGAATAGCATTTAAGGGAGTTAGGACACCTGGTCCTTTTGCTAGCTGGGTCCTGGCTCATCATGCAATCAAAGGAGAGCAGACTTAACCCCTCTGTGCCTCAGTTTTTCCAATCAGACACCTACCTCACCAGGGCACCGAGTCAGAAATTTAGGAAGACATTTTAAAGTCTCTAAACATATTTAAGTGCCACGAATAGCTTTTACTAACTGTATTTCATAGCTTGGGAAGAGTTCTATGTCTTATGAACAAGGTAGGTGCTACCTATGAAGGTCATCTCCATAGGTGTCATAATTATGAACTTGTCCTCAGAAGGCAGTGATATCTTCAGGAACTATTTTCAATAATCCATTCCTTTCTCCTAAAGGACAATGGAAGTTCTCAGAAGAATATCCTCAATAAAAGAAGAGTAATATTTCTTTGCTGCTTCCCCCACATCCCAGCCCCAACCTTTTTCTGATCATCATCAGAAAGAATTCCCCTGAACTTTTCAATGGGTTTATATGGTAGTACCAAAGGGAGAACGCACATCTAAAAATGACACATCCCCAAAGGGGAATTATGGGAAATGTTTTGTTCTGTTTACTTGTTTTTATTTTAAAATGCATTTTAAATATTACTCTTTAGAGCCATCTCACATACAATAAACATTTAGAGAGGTTCCATGTTACAAAGTATGCAAATTATCTTTGGAATCTGCTACTCTAAATTCTCTTCTAAGTAGTATGTCTAAAATCTCAGTTCCAATTAATAGTTACCATCTTTAATCATCAGGCACCCCTGCCTCTATCTCTTTACTGTCTTTCCTGTTAGATGTCTTCATCTGTCTGCGCTTCTGTCCCTCAGCTAGAAGCTGCAATAGATACCAGGTTTTCCCAATAAAGCAAAAGTTTGGTATCAAAAGGAATCTATCTGTTTCCATTCATTTTAGTGCCTGACTAAATGTAATGTGATTTATTTTAAACACATGCTGCATTTTCATGTTTATATATAATTTTTATATGTCCATATAATGATTGGCTTACTACTTTTCTGTCCAATTTAATAACTCTGGCTCTGAAAAGTATTTTAAATCCATGTGATCAGTTTATAATATGCCCATGTACCCCCATTTATGGTTTGTTCTGGACAGTGATTCTAGGATAAATACTATTTAGTAAATATGCTGTTTTGTACAAAGTATGACAATTGTTTTTTAGGGAAGTCAATTTTTTAAATTATTGCCTTTTCTTTATTATTATAGAAATTTTTCAAAAGGGAGAAAAAATTGGTCCTAATAACCTATGTGCTGCTCCGAATATGTCATTACCTAGGACATTATAATAAGTTGCTATGAAAATAACTGAAGTCTTCCTCAGGGGAAGGAAAGAGAAAGGGAAAGTAACAGCTACAACGGTAGAGTTCTGGAGGCCCCCTGAGGGGAGTCTTACACAACTGAAATGGAACAAAACTTACTTCTAGTATTCTAGTATTTCTAGGATTTGGGCTCAGGACAGTTTGGTAGGCATAGTACATATTTTTGAACATCCAATTTGGGTTCTTCAAAGTAATCACTAGACATGGGAATCTGTTTCTGAAGCAGTTCATGGGACATACACAACAAGTACCTGTGCACTTGTTGAGGTCTCAGGAGCAGCCAGCTTTGGGTTAGATGATAACAAGGCATTGAGCAACAGAGATGTATTTTCACACCCATGATTTCATGTGCCATTCTTGGTACACAGAGGTGATTCTGTGGCTGCTACCACCAGAAGAACTTCCACTTTAGGTTATTCTGGGACTTAGGAAGCGGTTTATGCTTCCTTTCAGAGACCATCTTATGATGGTGGGCCATTTGTGAGATGGTTAGCCAGCATTACTAGTGTCTAAGGCAGGTGGCTTTAGACCAGTCAGTTCCTTGCTCTCTGTTCACGGTGCTTATCAAATCAGAAAGCCTAGAAGCCATTCACATTAAAGTCTAGGTGCATGAGAATCCTTGCTCTGAGTTGTTAGTGGGTCAGGAGGGGCGTCATCTATCCTCGTGGTAATATAGGCTGGGAGTACCTTTAGAAATTGTCAAGGCATGAACTATGAGCTGTCTTTAATCCTCAGAAGCTGTACAGAAATCTAGGTGTACCACTTACCCCTTGAGAGAAAAATAGTACCCTAACTTGATGCTAAGGGGTTTTGTATTTCTATTTGCATTATCCCTGTAGCTGCTGACATGGGCAAAATCATGAAATAGAATCGATTTTGTAAATTTTCTCTAATCTTTGCCTTTAGGAAAAATTAAAATTATTCAGACAGCTAGCTGTCACTGGTGCTGCCCCAAAGCTTTCCCATCTAATATCTATTTTTTATGAATGAAATGGTTACTATGGGAAGGCCAAGGTTCACATAAGAGTATCACAGTATAAATATAATGGTTTAGCAACTGTTTTAGTTTTTCTTTTCCTGTGCCAGATACAGACTACAGTTAACCCTTTTTCTATTCATCAGCCTGTTTTCCCTGACAGTAACTCCCAGATGCTTTTCTTAGTGATTATAAAGCAAGAAAGTCTCATCTGGGCCTATGTTGCAAAGGTGGGTGGTCTGTCATTACTTTCTGGCAAATAGAGTTGATGGATTTTAGATAAGTCTATGGGGTTCCTGTCATAGGTTCCTGGGCTCTAAGGAAGGGTTGCGCCTTTTTTACTCTCAGTGTTTGAGTATTTTTCAAATGTTTGTAAGTTCTCTTGCACTCCTCTAATAAAAATGAAAGCTATCTGTCAAGGAATGGCTTTGGATGGTTCAGAGATCTAGGGGAAAAGAAGTAAGTACACCTGAGACCTTCAGTTGGTCTTTTATTTATTTAGAATAAAAAGTAGTTTGATAAGCTACCAGAGTTAGTGCTGCTTTAAAAACACTCTCTGAAAAGATGGCAACCGTCCCTCAGGAAAGCTATAAAAGCTATTCCCAATACATAGCAATTGCTTTTGATTTTTAATCCTTTGGAGCAAATGTCTGATGTTATGTCTGATGTTATATTTTTAGAGCTGTGGGGGAGAAATGTCTAAACAATTTTAAGGGGGTATTATTTAATGATTATCTGACTGAATCATATGTGAGCTAGGTTCTAGGGCAGCTGTCCGGTTCTTTTTCTGTTGTCCTGACAGTAACACAGATAGTAAGCGATGTCTTGAAAGTGATTTTCTTATTTCATACTGACATCTAAAGACATTAGCCTTCTGTTTGGTAACCCTGGGGATACTCCTCTGCACCGTGACTTATTAATGTTTTTTTTTTGGTGAGGCTAAACCTGGATTACTCTCTGTATTTATACTTTCACTATTCATATACCAGCTGCTAAAAGAAAAACCATAACTTATAATCTTGTCTTGAAATTACTCCTAATTATGAAGTTCACTAAATTCTTCATGTTTAGGGAAGATTGCTGCTAGTAATGTCAGTTTGCAGTGTTCTGCTTTAGATATGTGTCTTATGGGAGTCTGGAAACTAATAAATATGATTGTATTAATGTACTGACTGCTTTGTCTCTGCTGATTTTGAGGGTGGTGGAGGGGAGGAGGAAGGTGAGTCTATTACCAAGTGAAGACACTGACCTAAAAAGTTAATGCATCGCAAGCCTTTTGCCATCTCATTGTTGTAACCTTGTGCCTTTTCTTTACCAAAGCACATGTCTGCATCAACTATCCTTGAGGTGCCTTTTTGCTTCCAAATTTATTAGAAGGTCTTGCTTAGAAAAGGAACTTGGCCACAATGTGAATTGTCTCTTTTAAGCTCCAAGCCATGGTAATTGCCCTGTGAATTTATTCTACCTAATAGTTCATTGGCATTAACCCCGTCTCTTCATGACTTGCTGAGATTACCCTTCACTCCACTACCTCTGAGGGTTTGACCACATTTGACTAATTGATCCTCACATGGTTCCAGAAATATTTGAATTTGTCACCAGCTTCCCTCTATGCATGTACAGGAAGTTGAACTGCCCCAAGATTTGCCACGTTGGTTACTTGATCTCCTCTGTGTGCTTCCAGAACTGAGTCACCTGGGTAAGGTAGACAAAAATCACACTGATGCTTAGAGAGGGAAACATCAAATTAACTGTCAATTCCCTGCTTTCAAAGAATATATTGAACTGGCTTAGCCAACGTACAAGAAACTTCTAACTACTACACACAGGTTCTTGTGGGAAGGGAGGCAAGACCCAATGCTCCATTTCTTCTCCTTGTTTGTTTTGTATCTCAGACTTCTGATTAAATGAGAATATCCTCATTAATCAAAATAAAGGCAGAAGAGTCAGCTTGACGTTTAAAATGTGAAGTGACCATTAAATATTGGTAGGGGATGGAGGCCAGTGGAATGAGATATATTTATTATCTTTCCCTAAGCTTCCTGGATTCGAGTGGCAAGGACAAAAAAGTTTATTGCCCCACCACATTGTTTCCTGAATATCAGTGAAACGTTCTTCAGTCTGCTCAGTTGCCACTAGGTGGCAGTGGGTTGAAGAGAACTGCTTACCTGAGGCCCCAGAAGAACTTGAGTCTGGATCTGATCTCCAGTCACTGCTACAATTCGTTGTTAAATGCTCACCAGTCTGAACTGAGATAATCAAGGAGAAATGAGCTATAATCAACCTAAGTGGCAGTATAAATGTTTCCTCCCAATATTGAATTTGCCTAATTTGAAGCCTACGAAACCTGACTGATGGCAATCAGCCACTGAATGTGCTTAGAGAAGAGTGTTAAACAGAGAGATTGCCTGGCATCCCGTTTCAGGGAGTCTATCACTGTTCTCACATCATGGAGTTCCTTGTTTCCTCTCAGAATACGGTCAACTCTACCCAGCCTCTTCCAGCTGGTGACTAAGGATTATCCCAGGGAAACTGTCTCAATGCCCCTATTTCTCAGCAGTTGTCTCACTTTGGGAAACAATTCAATTCCACCAGTGTTGATGCCCGAGAGCCTGCTTGTAAGAAAGGTTGCATCCGTCTTATGATTCCATGACCAGAATTGAGTCTCCACTCCAAGACCAAGCAAATATCCTCCTTAGTCAAAGAAAAAATTATAATAGACAGAGTAAAGTCTGTTGTTTTAGGGTGGACTCTAGGGGCAGAAGGGGTGGGTGGGCAGTGGTAAAAACCAAAAAAACAGATAGTAACTTGCCAACATCTCTCTGCTAATCAATGGAAAATTTGGAATACCATCTAGGTCTGTCTGACTCCCAAGTTTATTATTAGCCAGTTACACCTCAGGCATTGACCAGGACACTGACAAAGCTGAGTCATCCCCTCCAATTAATCAGAAACCAGAGGGCTGAGTTAAAATATGGTTTGGTTATCTACTTCAAGTGTCTCTAGTCCTTTCTGATTCATAATGTTCTTTAGTTGGAAGTGAAGAGGGGCACAGGGCTTTGTGGCTTCCAAAGAGGATGAAGCTGGTGGGCACCCCCAGGGCAGCAGGTCCGCTGTGGCTCTGGGAGTAGTAGCTGCCAAGTGAGCAGCAGCAGGTATATCATCCACCAGTAAGTTAGACCCTTTCTAGGGTAGCGATCCAAGAGCTCTGTTAAAAAAAAGCAGCTGAAGTGACTTACTGGTCTTTAACCAGCTCTTCAATATGCATTAAAAAGTCTGCCATCTCTTTCCTTCCAATGTTTCCACAACTTGGGAAGAATGCCTTCTCTTGGCCTTGACTATCATCTTATTAAAAAACTCTTGTCAGGGCTAAACTATGGATGGTGCTAAAGCTACAGAAAAATTAAGATTACTTGAAGGCTTACAGTGTTTCTCCTGAGACCTAAAAGGGGTCACAAGCAGAAAGGTTTGGCAAGCTGCCTGCCCATCTTGTAGAATTTCCTTTCAACTTGAGAATGTGTTAACTTCCAGAATATAGCAATCCTGGGATGAGCTCGCTGTCATAGACTCTTGCACTAGTTACTTCTGAGCCTCAATTTCCTGATCTCTAAACTAGAGATGATACTACCTACCTCCTAGGGTTAGTGAGAGAAAGTGCTTGGCCCGGACCGCAAGCACTTAATGTCATTTACACTGTGATGAGCTTACTGTGTGATGCTTAACATTCTTCACTTCCCTGTGCTTGCATTCCATGTCCTGAGACCAGGGCTGACAAACAAATGGACAGAGCAGAACGCTGTTGTCATCCTTTTTTTTTTTTTTTTTTTGTTAGCACACAGGTGTTTGAAAGATTGTTCTCAGGCTTCTTGAGTTCTCTGTGCTTTCTTATTTGACTTTCCCTGGGTTAAAACTTCAGAATATCATCAACTTCTCCACTGCTGGGAGAGCAGTATGCTCCCCCAGGAATGACGTTAGGCTCCACGGGACATTCATTAGATGGGGTTACGAGAGGACCACAGGGCACTGGAATGGTAATTTCCTACATGGGACCCCAGTGACCCAGAGCGAGCCAGCTCAGCTGGTCTGAGCATGTGGCTAATGAGAGAAGGGTCATGGTTTCATTCCAGTGTGGGCCAATTAGTGTCACGTGGAAAAGCACGCTCTGGGGCATCAGGCAGCAGTTACATGTGTGTGGCACCGGTCTCCAGGATGGCTCAGTGTGGCCATCATCACTATCAGAAACTCAACCCAAAGCCTAAGCCTACATCTTCTTTCTTTTTATTACATAGCCCATTGTTTCCAGAGGGGTCATTTGCAGACCACTTTCACAATTTTTGCCTTATCCTAAGCAGACTACTGCTTACTTATTCAATATTTTTCTATAAATTGATTCACTTTTTAGTTTGCACTTGAAAGAAAGCTGTGCATCACTACCATCAATGGCAAGTTGGAAAATTTGCCCTAAATCAGAAGTACACATTAAAAGAAATATCAACTATTGAAATTAAAATGTTTGTCTTCGTGTTATCTGCAAACACCTTCTGAGCCACAAGTGATTTGTGTACTGTGTGTTAGTAAATGTTGCATTATATAAGCTTCATGTATTTTGTAACATACACTCTGTTCCATAATAGAATGATCACGTCAGCAAAAACTATTATAAAGCAATTGTTCAGTGGGAAGAGTTGGAATCAGTGACCGGGGAGTTTCATACTTGAAATGATAAAATTATTCTTGCAGGAATTTCAACACCAAAGGTCTTTCTAAATGCTGTAAATGTATAGCTATAAATCCTCAACTCTGAACACATTCAGGGTTTAATTTACATCTAGCTTTTGCTCAAAAGTCATGGCTTTTGTTCGCACTCTCTACGGCACTATCATTAACACTGTTCTTCTTGCACATCCTTATCATTATCACCTGTTTTATGATAAACAAAGCACAAACATGCAAAGCAGATGTGTTGACTGCACATCTTTGTTTCCCTCCAGTCATGAGCCAGTTCACACTCAATCTGCCTGGTTGGCCAGTTCTTTATAGAGATCAAATTATAACCAATAGTGGTGTTGGTGATAAAAATGTATTCCCTAATTAATTGAGCATGTTACATCCAATCCAGTTATGAAATGTGCACTAGAGGACAAATACACATAAAAAGACACACACACACACACACACACATGCCTTTTCAAGGTTGAAAGAAGGCCCAGCCACTTCCATTATTTGAGGCTCCCAATACATTTTTTTAAATGAAGAAAGATCAAAGCAAAGTTGTAAACTTCATGGTATATTTTAAAAATTCAAATGGAATGATAGCTTCTAGTCTTTGTGTGCCTATGAGGAGGTGTGTAGCCTCATTTAGAAATAGAGCCCAAGTCTATATGTGAGGCCTTTTTGAATATGAAGTCCAGAAGGTCCTCCCTCTCTGCCCCCATGTCCAGAGATGAGCCCTGCCAGAAAAATTGACTTCTAAAGGGATCTGGATTTAAATATACCATAAGGTGTAACATTTTAGCAATGCAGAAATACAAAAGTCCTGTTATTTTGGGGCTGCTTGGGTTTCACGCTTTTATAGCTGTCTCATCATCCTTGGAAAGCCATCAGTTGGTAGCAAGAGTAGGGCCAGACCATTTTATAAGTCCCAGAAGACTTACTTAGATCAGAAAATCAGGATATTGGGATGCCTGGGTGGCTCAGCGATTGAGCGTCTGCCTTTGGCTCAGGTCATGATCCCAGGATACAGGGATCGAGTTCCATATCGGATTCCCTGCATGGAGCCTGCTTCTCCCTCTGCCTGTGTCTCTGTTTCTCTCTGTGTGTGTCTCGTGAATAAATAAATTACATCTTTAAAAAAAAAAGAAAAGAAATAAAAGCAGAATATTAAGTGGGAATGCAGTTACAGTTTTCTTCCACTGCACATAGACCTGATGCATGCTTTAACCACATGGACCACTTAATGATTGCACATACACCCACACACAGTACGGAGCAAGGAAAGGACTCCACGCCAGTAACAGGGTTCTCATTGCACGATTCTTGATGAATCAGTAAGGCTGTGTAATGGGGAGTGTTGTGTATATATTTATGCAAAATAGTATAAAAATAGTATTTACTTAAGAGTATCTGTTGGGATTCTGTTTGTATGACCTTGTTCTAAGATTGGTGCAT